CATTCCGAATCGCTCCTAATACTGATCGGTGAAAATGTGGTTATACATACGGGTAAACCTTGCAGACCTAATAGCTCGCAGCCATTAAAGTATCCGTTATTATTATGAGCCGGTATTGGCTTCGGTAGTTCTCTGTGTGTTGCATTCGACCCTACAAAATTATCACTATACATGTTCAATAGCCGTTTTTATTTCAGATTGAAGAATTCAAATACCTGTGTATCTGATATTTAATACGGACTTCTCTGAGCCTACATTTTACCTCACATGACTTGTTTTTTCCTACGCGAACACATCGGAATGAAATATCCATCAGTACATCATTTGGCTTTATGCACCAGACATCCACGTCCGAAACTAACGCTGCTAATTGATGCTAGCCGCGAATAGGAATATCTAGAGGTCTTTGGTCGTATAAACTCTTCCAATACTACTTCTGTATCCTCCAAGGTAGATATACATATAAAGAGCATACAAGGGATGTCCAAATACTCTTGTGAGTGTTTTTATTAGCATATTCGACATTGTAAAGGATCGCTACGAATACAGCCAGAAGATACTTGTTGATGATTTCACGTGAAAGAGAAATGTCTACTATGGTTGGACCCTGGTACCTCCCGCACTGTATAATCCTCTCTGATGCAGGTGAATGTTTCGTTTTGCCCCAGTTCGACGGTGGAATTATAGAAAAGTAGACCACCAAAGTGCCATTGCTCTTAGCGATCTCCTCAATTACTGACAGCATGGAGGATACACCGACTAGATCGTCCTAGACTTTGCTGGGACTACATTGTTTTGCGCGCCAGTTTGCATGTTCGAAGGACGTGCCAGATTAGCAGAATTACAACTCCAAGCCCATCGTCAGCGTAAAACACAAATATCAAATAATTCTAACAGTTTAGATTTTCAATACTGCAAAATACCTGTCAATTTGAGTAGCTCCATGCAGTAGTGCGCTGATCAAATACATGCAAGCAAAGTGAGGAAATAAATCAAATCGTGAAATCGATAGTTATTTTTGAAATTTCGAATTCTACAGTACAGCTTGTAATATCGACTAAGCGGACGGCAAAGCCTTTTTTTAAACTAATTTTCTAATGTTGTGAGCCAATGGGGAGTGTAGTGCATTCAGCGGTAGCCTCGCTGATCCTGAAGTATCGGGGCTTGCTTCGAAGAGCTTGTATCTTTGCGCTACGAAAACGGAAAAAAAAACTTTTTTTCTTTTTCCCTTTTTTTTTTACAGAGAAGAACGTTTTGGGCCACATTCGCACGTAAAACTCCCTTCCGGTATACTCTCTATTCATACTGTCCTCATTCGCCATCGTTAGAAGCGACAAAGCCGCCGTACTGAGAAATTTTTGCAATTTAACGTTTCATCTACGGTCTATGACAGCAGGGCTATGGAAATATAGATTGTATATTGATTGTAGTCTCGGATCTCAAACAATCAATTATTGCAATCTTAACAATCTAAGAGGTGTATATTGCAATATATTGTTTTGATCTACACTCCACAAGCATCACCGCTGCTTTTGGACTGCTCAATCGCTTTAGATACGTCCACAAGCGTGACTAAATCCCAGTTGAGTTTTAAGAACATGATGACTTCTAGAGTTTCTTGACTCATGCTTTTGCGCAAGTAGCCCACAGTACTCTTGACTGTAGAAAAAAAAAGCGTTCCGCAGCTACCGACATAGGTGGAATCCAACTCACTTCGATAAACATTGACTGTGGTCTACTGCGCTTGAGAACTTTCTTACTAATCTTCTCATCGAGCTCATCGGCAGCACGTTTACGCTTTGACAGCGTTATGGTCGCGGTGTAAGGTGTTGTTTGAGAGTCAGCTTGCGAGGTGACTAGGAGACGACTTAACACCTCTTTTTCATTTCGCTGCAAAGTTGTATCTAAACCAGCTTGAATATTAGCAAGACCACTTTCAATAAGTGGAAACTCGATACTATTTGCGTCGGCCGCCAGACATTACTCCATACCATCATATTAATCCAGCACAATATCGACAATGTCACGGATAGCTGCGACTGTAACGTCGTCGCGCTGAAGTTTTTCAGTAATGACATCAAATGCATTCATCTCTTCCGGTAAAGTAGAGATTTTTCGCTGCTCGTTCACATACGGAATTAGATCCACTAACGCAATTCGGCGAATATCCTCTGGGCTAGCATCTACCGGAATATCTCGATCTACCCCGCAATCGTCTCGGAAAAGACGTAAATAAGGGCGTTGTCCTCAAATTGATGTAGTATTTTTCCTCATGAGTGCACTCACTTTTAATGAGTTTCATGTGCGGCTGCAGACGCTCTCAGCCATCGCCGACACCCCTACAAATACAGAAATGCATCACTAGCATTTCTATGCTACGAGAGATAGAACGTTGTCTGAAATCATTGTTAATTACCTGGAATTTACCGGTTTCAAGCTGATTATGCACTCATCGGATAGATTACCGGTATTTTCCGAAATGTTCAATAATTGACATACAATCTTGTAGTAATTCAGGGTTGATGCGGCAATCATTGAAAAATACCGGACAGTCTTCCGGTGATTAAACTCGAGAGGTAGTCAAGCGGCGACTTCGTATTTTAGACACAGTTGACTTTACTTATAGCTGATCTTGGAATTATACCACCCAGATATTATGGAGAAGGTGGATAAGGGAGGCCGGCAAACGAAATCGTTTGGATAGCTATATCGCCTTCATAATGGGCGGCTTTGCGTTATCCTACGTCACAACCTGCTGCTAGCACATGCTCACGCGGCAGCATCCTCAATATTTCTATCTTGGTTGAACCGAGTCTGTATCAGCCACTTTAGGTCATCCATGTTATTTCACAATCACAGGCCCAACACTAAAACATCATTCGATTTATGGCTCAGCAGAGCATCGAAGAAATCCAAAATATACTGGAAACGCAGCTAAAGACATCAACAGCATCAAACAGAAGCAATATCTACGTCAGTGGTCATTGCTGAGTATATCGCCGTCATAGGCATAACTTTCCAACTTCCTCGGGAGTTAGTCATTAGTGTAGATAGAATGTAGTTCGGTGTCCTAATGTTAATACTCGCATTCTACATCTACTACCGTAGCGATTGGCTATGTGAAATGGTGGCATCAAGCAAAACAACGCATGTTTGATAATACAATATACTCGTACTAGTACCTTGGATGAATTCAAAACAAACAAACAACTATGGTGTAGAGTTAACGCCGTTAACGTTCGAATGCGATGTGAGCACCACTTCAAACACGGTGCACTGACAAATTACGACTTCAGTAGTGCGTAAGAAGACGAGAACGACAAATGAACAGCAATAGCGGCGCTATGAAGCACTTCATTGATTGTCGCCCCCACCACTGTCATCACTGCCAAAGACCTCCTCAAAGAGACCGTCCTCCAATTCAGAGCCATTCAAAAACATGTCGTCTTCCAAACAAGCGCCATTAATGTCTAATGTGATGCTGTCGTCCCAGGAAATGTCGTAGGAATTGATGCTCGGCTCCATCTCCACGCGGTATCTTCTCCGTGAGCTGACTTCTATCTTTATTTCTACTGCAATAATCAAAATGTTTGGTGGACAAGATACATTCGTTTTCATCAGATTAGTCGAACGGTTGAATCTGGCACATCTGGACTTTGGTTGAATGTTCTACCTTTCAACTGCAGTTAAATTGCTCATCACGTATGTGGTTGTCAGAAGGAGTAAACGTCGCCGTAGGGGTCACATAAGGTAAGTTGCCAATTTTGTAGCCTTTGCCAGTTTAGTAGCACTACTTACTTCCAATACTAGCAATGTACCCATCCTATTGAAGAATATACCTGTCAAACTAAACCAGTCGTGCTTTGGTGAAAACCTCACTCACATAATAAACTGAAATGGGGTTCAGCGGTATGGGCTTTGGGACATTAGCGGGCATTATGTGTGGTGGCATTCCGACTGCCTTGTTGTGACCTACGCGGGAACTTTGTCTACATAACGTCTTTATTGCTGGTCGCAGTGAGATGTAGAGCTTGATGTTCACGATATGTCGCTGAGCGTAGAATTTTTTACAGTCCGTATTACGCCCTGACCGGACCTTATGCCCGGATGATTTTTCTGACCAAATCATCATGTCAGTATGTCAGTGCAAACATTCGATTGTAAGATGAGTATGTGTATTTATTTATGTGTATTATACCAAATGCACTACTGATCCAATCCTATGTGTGCAGTTATGCAGTTAAACCCAGCGTTGCTGCTTGTGGTACGCACCAATACTCCTCTTCTGAACTGTTCTCCTCGTCGGACGTTTGATCAGTTCAGGCTGAAGTCGTAATGATTGGCGGCCTCTACGATCTCCTGTTCCGAACCTTCCGCAGCTGCAGCTGCAGCAGCATTGCCCGTAGGCTCTTCGTCCAACGATGAATCCCCTCGCAGACTTAAGTCGCCCTCCATATCACTAGATAGTGACTCAAGGGACGCGTCAGTCTCGTCAAGGTTGGCATCATCGTTGTCCGACTCAGGTGGCACTTCAAAGTCCATCAAGTGTGATACCGGCGGAAGTGAAATACGAGGTGGACGCTGTTTCTTTCGTCGAAGTCCTTGTGTGATGTTGGTCTGCTTTCTTGCGTACGCACTTGACATTCGCCCAATCGTCGAAACAAACTGGCGTAGATTGGGGTGGGGCTTGAACGCTGCATTCATTTCGCGGTTTAACCTCTCCAAGGGGTTATTGGTTTGTGCTACCACGGAGTTAGTGATGCCAAATATATTCCACTCAGTGATGAAATACCGCTCTAGCCAGGTTTTACGGAAGTATCGCCAGATATTACACCATTCTTTCGAGGAGTACACGCATCCTTTTTCACAACACTTCCGTTTAATCTCTTGTTTGACCCATGCAATGCCTTTTGGGTCAACGAAGTCAGGATCGATAGCAGTGAGGGTGTCGAGTACGCCAGGCGCCATAGCTATTGAAATCTTATCCTCCGTTAGGCGTTCCTTTTTCAGTCGCTTGCGAATTGCTTGTTTAAAATGAAAGAAACAGTCCATCACTTCGGCATTGGGGAACTGAGTTTGAACCGATGAAATCAAGCTGAACTTGAAACCACAAACAATTTCAGCAGGAGTCATCTTTTCGGGGGTGTCACGGTGTATCAGGTGCAAGATATCCTCGTACATCGTCTCATTCTTGGATGTACACAGCACGAAATACACCGGGGTGTACATATTGCGAGCCAGATCGTCCACCATAACGATCAAACACTGGTAGAATCCTCAAGGCACACATCTGAAAGTGCCGTCGATAAAGAGAGAAACACTGTTGTACAGTAGGAGTTCCTTTAGGGCAGGATGAGCCCACCCCAAAATACGGTTGGGCGGAGCATTCAACTCAGGGTGGGCGGTCACTAGATGGAAGCGAAAGAACGGGATCGCTAAGTCCTTGACCTTGGAGCACGGTGGTGCCTCGACTACACCGTGAATGTCTCCACCATAATAACGGCGGCGAACTCGGCGGATTCGGCTTTTAACTTGCTCCTCGGTTAAACCTTCAATCAACTCTTCGCGATTGGGTCATAAGAACTCAGCACAGAAGCGCTCCCAAATAACTTCCTCCGGCATGCCAGGGTCCTCCGTAGCGAGGTGGTCGGTCATCTTCTTCATAGCAACGGTCTCATTCCTTAATGACCCGTTCACTATCTCATCATCACGGCAGTTGAGGTCGCCTACCACGCTCCATTCACAATGGGGTGTTATTTTTAACACTCCACCGCAGCGCGAAGTACGATAGGTGCTGCACCGGTACACTTTGTTTTTTGTAGACGCCCAAGACTTTGTGTATCTGAATCCCTTGTAGATCTTGACTGTCTTCGAGCCGCGTGTTTTCTTGACGCGCAAGGCGGGTTGGCTCTGTGTAGACGGGAATTGTGTGTTGCAGTCAGCGGTGATGTCGTCAGAGGTGGAGGTGTAACTGATTGCATCAGGAAGTAACGTAGTATGCTGACACTCGGCGCCGTGGCCGGTGCCAGTCCTCACTTTATGATTGTTGGCTCGCTTTTGCTTAGGTCGAGTTGATGTGTGCTGGCGTGCCATATCTACGCTGAGTGCGAGGGCTCAGTCTGACGGGGGTTAATCCGCTTGTGCCCATTCGCTTCGTCTACAGGCGCAAGCCCCAATAGAAATAGATCCTTAAGTTACTTATAGAATCCATTTTACTTTCAGCTTGAATATGATTCTTCCGTTCAGAGATCAGGTCACGCAGAACAACTCCAAAACTATGTTCCGTTCATAAGATTCGGTCAAAGCAGAATACGGTCAGTAAAAAAGTCAACCGTTGCTGAGCTGCGCTGGTGGTGGCTGCAGCGTGGCGAGAGCCACTGTTGTGTCCATGTGATGAATCGCGAGGTATTTGTGCCAACCTTCCATTTTAAAGCACCCAAAATGTGCAATGCATAAGAACATAGACAGCAAATGTGTACAACTTCAAGAGGAATTATCGGGTTAAGCTGCTACTTCCGCCCATAGAAAGAGGAAACACAGGACGAGTTTTGTGATCTATTTTGGTATAGAATAATACAGTTTCGAAAAAGCTGCACGATTGATTTGGACAGAGCATTTGTTGCCAGCTGAGTAGTCTTTCAGTATGGACAGGCTCCCGATCTGGTGACCCTGTCGCTTGTGGGTTAGGAAAATAAACCCTCGCCGGTTTCTCTGCGAAATAACAAACTGAGTCTCGATCTCTCCTACTATAAATCTACTTTAGCCCGCGTACCACACTGTACGCCACCAGGATGTTCTTTATATGGGGTACAAACCGCTGCATTACATGCTGCGGCAGTTCCTCGTCCTCCTTGTAGGCCTCCCGTTCGTCTTGAGCCAACACGAAGAGGCGTATGGACCATCGTACTCATTTTGAGTTGCTAGTCCGTCTTTTATTAGTTATCGAATTATACAGACAATGAAATCATTGGCTATGCGCGCGGTCACGAGCCCCTCAAAGAGCGTTTCCTCCATTTGCCCCAACAATTTTTGTCTTTAAAAAGAGGACGAAATAAGATGCAAAATTATCAAATTCCGAGTGATTTTGTCCTTAAGACCCCGGTTATTAGGGCAAATATAAAAAATTAAGTGCGACATACGCACTTGCCTCAGTCTGATATGACTGCTAAGACAGCTGACCTCTTTGTATGGGATTACATTTTCACTTGGTTATAGAAAAGAATTCGAGGACCTTCGTCCTAAAGTTAAGGACAAATCGCCCTCCGGTTAGGCACTCCAGACACCTTGAGGTTTAGCAGTTCCCGCAACAACGCCTAGGTTTAACAGAGAGTTACTACTATGGATATAGAGAGCTAGTAAAGGGCTACATTTCAATATCAGCACGAGCGTCTACCAAAACTGAGGCCCAGCAAGATCCTCAAGTTTTTGTCGTTTTCACACCCTTAATTTTTTTCTTGATGGGATAGCTTGACGTCTGCATACTGGTAATACCAAGATGCGTGGGATAATTTCTTGACAGTATCGAACATGGCACTTCCGGAGGTTACTAAATGAAAATTTACCTGAGGAGCAAACAGACCCCATATTTTTATTAGTAGAATATTTGCCCAAACTTTAGTTACTATGAGTGAAATGAAAAAAAGCGGTTAGCTGCGTAGCTCTGCATATGTGCTCACCCGCGGCATAAGCCCGACCATGATTGAAGCGCTGTGTAATGCTAGCCAGCCAAAGCCTTTGCTTACATGGCTGCAGCGTCGGGAGCATTTTCAGCATCACATCGCCTCCACTAGGCCTACTCAAATACACGCAAGCTTGAGCCTCTTCCGCTCAACTGCCCTAACGTAGATCGTGAGGCGCGAGTGTGTGTGTGTGTGTGTGTGTGTGTGTGTGTGTGTGTGTTTTACGGTATCATGACGGCCTGCGACAGAAGCGACAGAAGCGACAGAACCGACAGAAGCGTGGAGGGATGGTAGAGTTGATAAAGTTCACCGCTGTGACTTATGATCGGAAAGCTTCAGTGTGGTACTGCCAGCCTCCACGCGCTGGGTGAAAAAATACAGGATGAAAACTATATGATGGAAGTAAGAGAAGGAAGGATATAATAAAATAAACAGTGGCTGTCGCCCCGTAGCTCGGATTTGGGCTTCACAAATTTTGAGCAATTTGAGTTTAGTTTTATGATGGTACATCACGATCATAGCTATTTATGCTATGTACCTTATCCCCAGTCAGCTTCAGCGTAGGACAAATAAAGGACCAATACGTTTGTTGTGCTCACCTGGAAACGGTAATGGTCCATTCGAACTGTTTTAACAAGCGCTCGCATCTTTGTATCTGGTGTGTTGACGATATCGTGTCCTTCTTAGTTCATGAGGACGTTTTGGCAATTTCAAAATTGTCTCTACGAACATATCATACGTGAGTTTGTAAACGATATAGGACAAAATAGACAGAGTTTATCTTGATTTGAGTATGTCGACTGGTCGAAATCACACTGTTATAAGTCGTCATTTCGTCTCCAAAACCATCCCGCTACAAACTTCAAGTTAAGTTTTGTCCTGCCGTGAATTTTGCTAGGACGAATTTTGTTTTGTGTTCATATTAGAAATGCCTTTACCGTACAAGTCGGCTCCAGCACGACACCGATTATCGGCAAAAATCAAGTCATTTCAAAAACCTTACGAGGTTTTTCGCTTCATCGACATCCGTCCTCACAACCAGTAGCGCGCCATTGTGCAAACTTACCGCCTACCACCACGTATCACACAAAGCACACAATGAAGCGCCGCCTTAAATACAAGAACAAGGCCAAGCTGAAGGTATATAATCGCGTATCACATACCCCTTACTTAATTCTAAGTCATTTTTAATGTAATAATGATAGGGAGTCGAAGCCTCAAAAACAAACTTTGTAGCCACTATCGCGGTACAGATGGGCATGCATCGCTCCTCTGTATACTGCTTGGGAAAGCAAAAGACAAAACTAGAAGGTGATAAGAAGAATGGAAGCAAGTTCTACGTAAATCCAAAGGCACATGAGGCACAGCGAGTGCGCTATCATGATTTACACGGAACGCTATTTCTACTGGTGGAAAATGCCAATCTACAGGTGCATTGTGATTTCTACAGAAGGGATAGGGAGGACGTAGGGTTCATTAATTAGTCCATAAGGACTTAAATTTAGTCATCCTGTCAGATTCGTTTG